TGCTGCCTGTGCAGCAAACCGGGCCTCTCTGTACTTAGGGCAGTATTTAATAATATGCCCCGGATCACCGCAATAGACACACTGATCCTGATGTATCCTCCTCTGCCAAACTGTTTGTTCTAGGCCCAGATCTTCCCAGGGCCTGCCTTGCGGCAAGACAGGGTGCCATCCACCGCTCCTGGGAGGTGATCGGTTGTAACCAGAGCGGTTTTGCGGGGGACCTTGACCCCTACCTCCTGCTTGGCGACCTCCTCTGCCACCAACCCCCTGATCGCCTTTTCCTTGACCACCAGAGGCCCGGCCCCCTTGGCCCCGGCCTCTTCCTCTTCCTTGCGGCCTCCCTCCAGCCGCGACAACAACGTAAGTCCTCCCCTGAGTAGTGCTACTGTCCTCTTCCTCTAGGCCCCACTCTATCTGATCATATGGGACCTCCTCCATACCATCCTCGTCTAGTGTAAGGATCACGTGATCCTTGCCGTTAACCTGACCCGAGATGGTATGGCCTTTCCACTTCTTGCCCTTGTCAAGGTCCTTGTGCCAGAAAGTGGAAACTGGTATGGACTGCGCTTCAAACACTACCACTTCCCTACTCAGAGTATCGTAGGTCATAGTAGACTCCTTACTCTTCTCAAAGAAGTGCCCGCGCAAAAGGTTCGGGTATGGCACGATAGAACAGGTTGACCAACTGGGTCTCAGTAACCCCATGGCCAGGAACAGCTACCAACTCATCCATAACTCCTTTGAGTGCTCGAGCACTCTGCAATTGGCGGGAATGGATGGTTTGCAGTTTGTCAGAAGCTCTAACACTTCGTGTGACATCTGCAAACCTCTCACGCAGTAACTTAACGAAGTCACTGAGGGGGGTGATCAGGGAATAGGTGACCATGTCATTATCGCATTTAGCAGCGCGGCAGAGCGATCTAGCGAAGCTAGCTGCTTCGTCTTTGAGGGCATGGAAAGCGAGTAGGACTTGTTCCTCAGGAGCTATTTTATGAAGGTGTACGTAGGAGTTCACATTTCCCTCCCAATTATTGAAGTTCTCCTCCTCCTTCCCACTGTATGAGTCAGGGAACTTTACCTTGACTGACTCTCTACGGGGCGAGCTTCCTCCTCCCTTGGAGCAGCAAGCTTTGCGCCCTCTATGACGCCTGTACAGAATCGCTCTGTGTTTTCTAGCCTCGCCTTAACTTATGAGCCCACGTACATCATCATCTCTCACGCGAACTCTCTAAATCCGAATCGTATTGATCGCAAAGCTACATCCTGGCTCCTCGCGAATTGATACTGCTCTTCGTGGGCCCTTGCTATGAGCTCTATATTCCTCGCCATCACCTCCATCTGTGCCCTTTGCTGCTTCACCACCTCCAACTCCTTGGTCGCCTTACTTGCCGGCTCCATTCTCATCTTCTTCTCTCTGGTCAGACGCAATTTCCATTCTAGCTTCTTTTCTTCTTCTATCGTCTGACGCTTGAGGGGATCTTCTTCAGCTTCCAGCTCCTTAATGATCGCCTCTTGTTCTGCCTTGGAGACATATAACATCGCCGCCTCCTCTTCTCCCAGGGACAGATTAGCAACCCATTCATTAACCTTCTTCTCTAGCCAGGGATACTCCTTCTTTGTGCCACCCTGATACTTTTTTTTATCAGCGGCACTTCTTCTTCCACCTTTTTTTCTTCTTCTTCTTTTTCTGCTTCTACGACTTTCAGCTTCTCTTCCTCCTCCTCCTTCAATATTTCCAACTCTTCCTCCAACTTCTTCTTTTTTGCGGCTGGCTCCTGCAAGAAGGCCAACTTCTTGGCCTGCTTCACTACCTCCTCCTTCTCCTTCCTGGCCTTTTGCTCGGCCAGAATCCTGGCGGCCTCTTCCTCCTGCTGCTTCGTGTAGGGAGTGGTACTAGCACCACCCCTCGTGTCAACTCTACAAGTGAAGGCATTCCAGAAGCCTAGCGGAAAAAGAAGACGCCAAAGGATCCCCCAGAAGGGGAACCCCACGAGCAAGCCGTACATAGGGTAATCATCCATGGTGTTGGGTGCATGACAATGATTGTCCCACTCCTCACCACTTAGACCTACCCACTGACTCCCTGACCGACTCTCTAAGGACTACACGATCTGGGTAGGACCTTGTCAACTATGGTCTCTAGCCTGGACCTAGTACTGCAGCTGTCACTACAGGACTCAATGCTGATCAAGATGCATTTAAGGAGATCCCCCGTAACTCCTCAGGAACTATTTAATGTCGCAGACAGGATGATGCGACCAGCAAGTCCTCTCACAGCTCGGATTTTGGGCCTACCATGCCACACTGAGCAGCCTGCCGGTCTGTACCGGTCCTTGGGAGGGTTTGTCCTTCGGGTCAGTCAGTCATCAGACACGGCCTTTAGCCCTACTCAGCCCATGTGGGTTTGGTCAACAAAGCTCTACGACCTCATACACAGAGTTCCTATCACCTGGACAGAAGAGACTCAATGCAGAAAGAAGAGACAGACAGGCTCAGCAAGTACCATGGGGTGAGTGCACATCCATAGGGTGAGGGGATAGGCTGAAGGCTTGGCGAGAATATACTAACTCTAGCTTGGTCAAATTTGTGGTCAACAGCTCCGGTCAACGCTGGTCAATGCTGGTCAACTTGCCAGTCAACATCTTGGTCAACGCCAGTCAACCACTCAGTCAACACTTCACTCAACCCCAGTCAATTTCCCGGTCAATGCCTTGGTCAAGTCTGGTCAACTCCTCGGTCAACACTTCGGTCAACCCCGGTTAACTCCTCGGTCAATGCTTCGGTCAACCCCGGTTAACTCCTCGGTCAACGCCTTGATCAACGTTCAACTCGGATATGGCTGCCGACCCCTTGTCTCCCTTCAACCTTCACTTCGCCTTCTCCCTCCTTCCTTCTTACTTTCTTCCTCCTTCACCCCGGCTATGTCTTTCTTCTCCTTCGTCGTCCCTCCTTCCTCTTCCTCGGCTATGGCTTCTTTCTCCTCCTTCGTCTCTCCCTCCTCCTCCTTACTCGCTCTTCTTTCTTCCTCTTTTGCTCCGTGTCCGAGTTCGGCGGCTATGGCCGCCACCTCCTTTCTTGGACCGCACAACCAATCTTGTCTCTCTCTCTCTCTCTCTCTCTCTCTCTCTCTCTCTCTCTCTCTCTCTCTCTCTCTCTCTCTCTCTCT